TTCAGAATCAGGCTTTCACTGGAGCTCGCGGTGTTCGTTCGGGTCTGTTCCTTATCTCCTTACCAACTGTTGGGGGCAAAGCCCAGGGCGGCCTCCTGCCTCCTTATGAGCCCAGTAACCCCAACCCAGCCCATTTCCTCCTGTGCCCTACCTCGCCCCGCTGCCTTAACCTAGGAGCTGAGATACACATAGAAACTTCCATTCTGCTCTTCCTCCTGGGTCTTAGGGCCCATGCTGCCTCCTTGGCTCCCTTGCGAGGACAGGCTGCCTGCCTTCTTGGATCGCTTCAGGAACAGCCTCTGGGCTGTTGTGAATGATGATGCTGTGCCCATTAGTGTCCAGGTACCTGTCTGAGTCCCTGCTTTCAGTTCTTTGGGGTATAGATCCAGGAGTGGAATTGCTGGATCATATGGTACTGATCTGTACTTTTCATACCAGACTAAAAGTAGCAAGAATATAAAGTGAATCGTTTTGGATACAATCCTTGCCCAGGGCTGTAGGACCAAGCAGGGTCATGCCTATTGTCAGCCAGTGAGGGTCCCTCTCCTGTCCAGTGGGAAGCCCCTGACCCCTTAGGATGGAACATTCAACAGCTATCACACGTGACGCCTACGTAGTCTTTAGTAAACAGGAAAATGCTTATATTTCCATAAAGTATAAAAAAGCAATAAAAATTGTCTACGTACAGTGTGATGTCTAAGACCTGAGGAGGGGCAGGAATCTTTGCTAGACCCCTCTTTCAGGGTGTAGCTCTCAGAAATTGGATTGGTCAGATTCCAGGCTGTTGAGTGACTGCACCCTGAAGGTCAGGACATGCGTGTGACCCCCTCTTCTCTCTCGCCCTTACTTAATAGGATTCTCTTGCCCTCTCCTCTCTTAACACCCACGGCGGAAGTAGTAAGAGATTCTCTTGCTTTGACTTGCAGGTGATAGTCAAGGTGTGATAAGGTTGGAAACCTGGTTTGGGTTGAGGTGGTAGAAGATCTCTTAGGCTCCTACTTGAGGCCACCTGTTCTAGTCCAGCCTCCCAGAGTGCTCCTTTGGGGTTGGAACCCAGGTCAGCTGACAATAAAATATTACATTAATTTTTGCCTTATATTGTTTCTTGTGTATACAGTTGACCCTTGAACAGCACCGAGGTTAGGGATGCAGTCCCCCATGCAGTTGAAAATCCAAGTATAACTTATAGTCAACCCTCTGTATCTGTGATTCCTCTGTATCTGCCATTACGTGCCCGTGGATTCAACCAACCTCAGATTGTGTTGTACTGTCTTATTTATTGGCTAAAATTTGCGTATAAGTGGACCTGTGCAGCTCAAACCTGTGTTGTTCAAGGATCAGCTATATATCTTCCTTATGGATCTCACTGGGAAGGACATCTATATTTGGACTAAGACTCAGATGGTCCTGTATTCCTTGGCCATTATATCATCTTGATGCCACTGAACAGCACCCCAGTCCAGTCTTTATTCCTTTATTTAACATACGTTTATTGAGCACCTACTGTGTGACAGGCACTTGAAATACATCAGAGAACCAGGAAGTTGAAAATTGCTAACCTCATTCTAGAGAGAGGTGAAAGACACTACATGGAGAAAAGAAAAGTAAACTATATAAGATGTCATAAGGTGACATAAGATGTGAATAAAACTTTGCCTGTGCAAATGCCAGGAGCAGGAGGGTGTGACGAGCAGAGACTGTGGCGGGGGGTGGGATGGTAGGAACGGGGCGGAAACAGAGGGCCAGGTCAGGCAGGTCCTTGTAGGCCTTGTTAGGACTTGGGCCTTGACTCGGACTGAGGTGGGAGCCATCGGAGGTGGACACAACCTAATGTCTACTTGCAAAGGCTCCCCCTGGCTGCAGAGATGACAATACAGTCTAGGGAGCAAGGGCGAAGCCCCAGAGAAGGGTTTGGAGACCCACAGCAATTCACTGAGAGTCCAGAGAGGGGTCGTGAGAAGTGCTCAGTTCTGGTTTTATTTGGAAGGTAAAGGCAACGTGAGTTTTTGATGGATTGGGTGCGGAGCATCAGAGAAAAAATATTTCAGCCTGTGAAACAGAAAAAAAGGACTCATTATTGAAATGAAGTGGGAAAAACCATAGGAAGTGAAGTTTTGGAGGGCAAGTCCCTTATACCCCTTAATAAATACATTTTTTATGTGCATGAGGACTATTTTGGAATTAGAATTGGACTCTGCTTTTTACTAATGGTATAAATATGATTAAATTGTTTAACCTCTTGACCCTCAGTTTCCTCATCTATACAACGGGAATAATAATAACTACCTTACAGGTCTGTAGTATGGATCGGCAATAATCTGGTAAAATACCTTGCACAGTGCCTGATGCATAGGAGACGCTTTGTTTATGTTAGCGAAATAAGTGCTTGAACAAGTGAAATACCTGTGGGCTTGATAATTAAGTAGGAAAGGCCAGAATTATGGACACTGTATGTTCACTCATTCACTTTTTAGTATGCATTTAAAAACACTGGGACTCGTAGAAAGCTTTGATTCCTAGTTCGTCCCATAATCCACCCAAAGGTGCATCACTTTTTTTTTTTTGCGATACGCGGGCCTCTCACTGTTGCAGCCTCTCCCGTTGCGGAGCACAGGCTCCAGACGCGCAGGCTCAGCGTCCATGGCTCACGGGCCCAGCCGCTCCGCGGCATGTGGGATCTTCCTGGACCGGGGCACGAATCCGTGTCCCCTGCGTCAGCAGGCGGACTCTCAACCACTGCGCCACCAGGGAAGCCCCCAAAGGTGCATCACTTTGATGGAGATTTTAAACCTGTAAGAAAATGGGAAAGTAGCTGGTGAGTTGTTTGTCCTGTCTAGCTTGGCGATGGGCCAGAAAGACAAGGCAGCTATTGTTCTTGTTTCTCATCCAACGTTTCAGACAGAGAGAAGGCAGTTTGTTGGAGTCAATTATTTAAACCCTTCTTTCCATGTGCATCCAGGGGAGTTTGCAGCTGGCCTGGTTTGTTACTAAGTAATGAGATGGATTAAATGATCCAGTCAAACATAATGATTACTTCCTTGATGGCTAGAGCCCTGTGTTAGTTTTTTTGTTTTATCCCTCATAGCAGCACACCTGTGTAGGTAGAGCAGGTGCTTTACACATACGCCAGTAGAATTTTGTTTGTTCAGCAAACAGAGAACAACGCGGAGCCTCAAGTTGCACCTCACATCTCTACCCTCCAGGTGGTAGAGGTGCTAAGGCTCTGATTGTAAACATGCATTGGAAACCTATTAGGTGTCAGACCTATAACAGACCTGGTTACGACCTTCTCTCTAATTCTCCCAGTGACCCAATGAAGTATTATTATCCCTGTTTTAAGATGAAGACACTGAGCCTGCCAGTGTTCGATGATTTGACTTAAGTTTTACCACTGCTGTGAATCAGAGTCAGGACTTGAACCCAAGTCTGTCCAACACTTTTAATCACACCATGAAAAGAAAAGCCTTGTTCTCACTTGAATAAATATTTTCTCATCAGCCAGCTGAGCACAGTAGAACCAGATTCAAATTCTATAATTCGCAGCCAGCCAGTCTAGATTGAATTCAGTTCAATAGCTTCATTGTTTGAGCAACTAGAGGGTGTCAGATGCTGTTCCGTGCACTGTGCAGAGGCGAGGAAGACCCTCCTCTGGGGCTGCCATATGGTCTAGGCAAGTTGGGAGTCCTGGACTCACCCTGAGCCTATAGGTGCTTTGCTGGCTTTGAGTGGGCAAGGTCTGGGCAAGGGTGCTAGAGGGGATTCAGTTTCCATTTCGACCAGGAATGCTGAGATCTTTTGATATTTGGGTGGAATGGAGATAAGGATGGAAAGATGTAGGGATAGGAGAAAGGGAGGAAGAGAGGAAGAAAGGGAGGAAGGAAGGAAAATGTGAGTTACCTCTACCAGGGAATTTCTGTTCAATTTAAAACAAAGCCTTAGCTAGAAAGAATGAAACCACTGTGGTGAAATCTCAGAGAACAGTTAGTGGAAGAAGATGGTATTTGGGGATCTGAGACACACTCCAAAGATAACGAAAATACTCTGATGAGAACTCTGCCTATTTTAAGAATTTCACTGCAGTCAAGTACTAAAGAGAGAGAGAGAAAAAAGAGGGGTCAGATGCATTATGGGAAAAAGCACTTTGTATCAGAAAAATAATGGTGTTGTTATCCTTTCAACAGATCTTTAAATACAGTTTGTCCCTTTGCTTAATTAATTGCAGATTGCAGAGAACTTATTTTGTAACAAGACTTTGTTCTATGAACACTACCATCTAATGAAATATAGATTATTTCAGACTATGTTAGAAAATGTCTTCTGCATATACAGTCTGATTACATAGATACCAGAGCAAGCATGGGTTCCCTGGTTATATCTTTCCTTCCCCTAATTTCACCTTTGTGGATCTTCATTCAGTTGTTTTGTGTCTGTACCTGTTAACACAAAGTTAGAGTTAAGTTGTGTAAGAAGAAAACAGTTTTCAGATATTATGAGAAAACATTTTTTAAAAGGAGGGTGGGAATAAACATAATCCCATAATGGAATTACTATGATTGTTTTATTGTCAGTGGTTCATAATAGGATCAGAAAAAAGGGAAATAGTCAAAGCGTGTCTATTTGAGTGGATTTAATTGAATAAGATCACTGACCGCTAGAGGTGGACAGATCTTAGAAATAACCAAGCCTTATGCTGTGTTTGTGAAGATGAATCAGTTAGGTAAGGGAGGACCGTGACTAGTGGAGAAAGCTCAGCTTTGGAAAGAGGAGGCCCGAGTTTTCCCTCATCTCTGTCCCTTGCCTTGTACAACAGTCTTAAACCCTTGGGTCTCTATCTCCCCAACTGTAAACCGAGGACAGGACAAAGTGCTCTCCTTCTAGCCTGTCACTTCCCTAACCACCTGATTTAAGTGGGTCACCTGCTGTTCTTCATTCAGAGCACTTATCACCATTTGTAATTTCCATATTGATGTGTGAGCTTATTTAATACATGTCTTCCTCAGGGGACGAGCAGAGACCATAACTCAATGAGGATGCAGCCATCTCCTTGGTGCTCCCCAGTGCTCAGCATATGGTACCCAGTGATGTACTGAATGGATAAGCGAATGGACAATTGAAAAATGTTCTAATCATTATGGAGGTAGAGACTATAACCTGAATTTCCTGAATAGCTGTTAAAGGAAAAAGAAAAGCAAGCTGTTTTGGCTCACATAGAATCCGATGTTATTAAAATACATGTGGACTTTTTTTTACATAATTGGCTTTCTAGACCCGATATGTAACAAACTATTAAGTAATTTAACACTCTTTTTTACACTCTTAGCTGCTAAAAACACAGAAACTTGATGCTTCTCATAAGTACAGGGGGAAATGCTCTGTATTTGAAGCCCTCCCCACCTCCACCTCCTTGAAAATTTTCTAAATAATACCTAGAGGAATTTTTTTTTCTAAATGCTGAAACTGGTTATCCATAAGCAGTAACTTTTCCTTTTGTATTTGAAGCTGCCACATCACAGAACAAATCAGCCTAGTACAAATCTGTTGGATATGAAATGTATGCAGATCGCTTAAGTAGCACACATTAAAAAGTGTTTTTTAACCGATTACATTGGAAAGACTTGCCCCAGACGCATGGCTACAACAGTAATGGGTCATTTGTCTGTTTATCCAGCTCACGTGTACAGAGCAGGAAAACACGGCCCAGGTGGGAGAAGGATGAGTGTTTGGAGGAGGCCGCTCTACAATGTGGAAGCCCCTCACTCTGGGAGCCCAGGGGAGGGACACTTCCCCAGAAAGGGCGTGCTATCCAGAGGACTTCTCGAGGATGAAAGCGAGGAGGCAGCGGAGGGAGGAGGGCTGGGAAACAGGAGAAGTGATTCTTTAGAATATAGAACAAGGGCAGGAGGACGTGGCTGTCCCGGATCCTGGAGCACAAACATGAGACAGACAACCTGTCATGGGCTCACGGTCCAAGGGGATAGGGACAAGTAAATAGACAAGATGAATGCTTCGATGGGGGAGGTCAGAGTCTGGGATGGGCTCTGAAATGTGATGAGAAGTCATGGCCATACGCAGACTGAGGCTCACGTCATCAGTTCTGTGGACCACGGAAGGCTTACAGTGGACCTCGCAGGGTAAGATGTGAACACACAGAGTGAATAATTCTCAGGAGGAGGGCTTCACCGTTTAGTTCAACACCTCCAGCAGCTTGGAAGCTAAATGACTTTTGGCCTCAATTTCTGTCTCTGTGAAATAGGAATGATAACACCCTTTGGTAGCTACTCCACAAAAACTGATCTCAACTGCTCCCCCACCTCAATCCGAAGAATCCCAACATTTTGGCCATCTCCTAACCTTCCTTCTCTGAAATGCATCCTGATTCTTGTTCCAGAAAATATGGCCTCCTCTGGAAAAGTACTGTTTTAATTCCGAGATTATTCAGACATTACTTCTGGCTGTGAAGAATAGAGCAATTCACACATGCCAGAATCACGGGAATCATTTTTCTCTCCTCGTTCCCCCTCGCCTCTTATCCAACATCATCCAGACTTGCCAATTTAGCAAATCCCCAGACCCGTGCAATGCACAAAAGGAGATGAAGAACAAGAATGGAAAGGGAGGAAGGAAGGAAAGAGGTGAACTAATGGGGGTAGGATTATCTTGACAGGCGGAGGGAGCCTAAGGATACAGGAGAACACCCTTCCAGAAGGAGGCCTGCCAGGGGGGCAGGGGCTTGGAAAACAGGCTGCGGATGCCTGGGCAACATACTGCTGGACACGCCGCCCGTCCTCAGGGCCCCTCTGCCCTGTAAAATGAGGGCAGAGAATAGAATCCCCTCTACCGAGACACCGTGAGGGGTGAAGAGAGCATTCACAAAAAAGGCCCGGGTTAGGGCAAGTGTTCCACTCATGTGATAGCTACTGTGATTGTTCTGGATTTGACCGAGTGGTGAAGTGGGAAGGACCCAGGGTTTGCAGTTAGACCCAGGGTTTGCTTGGCTTTGAAGCCTGGCTGACTGGTTGTGTGAATGATCCCAAGGAGGCAGTTTTAAATTTTGGAGCATGCTTAGCACCAGGCAGCAGATGCAATCCAGCGTTTATTAAATTGCCTCCGATGCGTAAGCTCTCAGCGTGGTGACTGACATGAGTTCTTATTTAAAATCTACCACGCTGACTTTATCTTCTTCATTCCTATTACCTTCATTCTCTTTATTATTGACGTTGTAATTTTCATTTTGCAGATGAGAAGACTGAGCCTCAGGGAAGTGACGAGGCTCTCCTGAGGACACAGGGCTGGAGAGCCACAGAGAAGGCACTTGAACCACATCTGGGCGTCTAGGAGGCCCGCACTGGTTCTGCCTCGGCTGACCCTCAAGGCTGATTCCTTACGTCCTAGCAGTTACCTCTTCAGAGGGGCCTTCCCCGGCCACTCCTCCTACGTAAGTCCGCTGCGTCATTCTTTGTCACGGTGCCGGCTCTTCTCCCTTCAGGGAGCTGATCACAGTCTGCAATTCTGTGTTCCTCTGTTCACGTAATAATAAGATGAATCCATCATTTATTGAAGAAATATTATCCTGATACGATTCTAAGCACTTTTCTTATATTATCTCATTATCTCTCACATTAGTCTTATGAAGCCAGCACTAAGCAATTGACACATGCTATTTTACCTTATTCCATAACAGTGCTGTAAAGGCGACATTAATATTTTCATTGTACAGATAATGGAACTGGGATACGTGGGAGGTTAAGTAACTTACTCAAGGTCATAGAGCTGATAAGTAGCATGTCCGTCTCCTCCACTAAACTCTGTGCTTTATGAGGGCAGAGACCCTGTTCCAAAGCCTGAAGCAGACACATAATATACAGTCAGCAAACACTGAGTCAATAAAGAGATGAATACTAAGGAAAAAGAACATAGATGAGTTATTAAGTGGTGAGGAGGTGTTTCCTCTGTGCTCAGAAATAGCTGCTTTGTCTCTGACCACACTGAGTCCAGGCACTGGTTTAGGTGCTGTAGTCTGGGGAGTGGTGTGTAAGAGTGTGTGCGTGTGTGTGTGCATAATATTAGTTAATCAATCTCAGTATTTCTGTAAGGTAGGTATTTACAGTCAAGGAAACTGAGACTTAGAAAAGTTGTCAGTGGTCTTGACTCTTCAGAAATTAAAAGACTCTTTAATGATAAAAAGAAGGAAAAAAGAAGAAAATTTAAGCCACTTGCTACAGGCTAGGACACATCAGGGAGTTGAAAAGCTGGGTTCCAAAGTCTATGTTCTTCCTACTATGCCTCTGAGGCATCAGCCCTTCTTTCATTCAAAGTAGAACAACAGAGCCAGAGCCTTCTTCAGATTAGCACAGGCAAGAAGCATCATTGTGCATTGCTTAGTTAGAAAAAAGACAAACCGTGCTGTACACTTGGTTTCAAATTTTTTAACACTTAATTAGCTGGTACCATCTGTGAAATTCAGTCTCCCAAACTAGTTCTCTCTCAGACTTTCTCATCGTTTATAGACTTAGAGATACAAAAGGTAGAAGGGGGACTTCCCTGGTGACACAGTGGTTAAGAATCCGCCTGCCAGTGCAGGGGACACGGGTTCGAGCCCTGGTCCCGGAAGATCCCACACGCCACGGAGCAACTAAGCCCATTCGCCACAACTACTGAGCCTGCGCTCTAGAGCCCACGAGCCACAGCTGCTGAGCCCGCACGCCATAACTACTGAAGCCGGCGCACCTAGAGCTGGTGCTCTGCAACAAGAGAAGCCGTGGCAATGAGCAGCCTGCGCATGGCAATGAAGAGCAGCCCCCGCTCGCCGCAACTAGAGAAAGTTCGCATGCAGCAGTGAAGACCCAGTGCAGCCAAACAATAAATTAATTTTTAAAAAATCAACTGTTAAAAAAGAAAGGTAGAAGGAAAACTCTTCCATTGACTGAGTAACTATTGTGTAACTGAAGGAATATTTGATATAGGAATTAACATCCCCATTTTACAGATGAGAAAATGGAGGCTCAAAGAAAGATGAAATAACTTGACCAAGTCATACACACAAGGTAGTAAGGGAAGGAGTGAGAATTTCATTTCCTGTCTGCTAAATCTGTTGTTGGTGATCAGGAGGTATTGGCAGAGCTTTGTTTTGTTCACAAGATGAAAAATCAAAGCATTCTCAGGCTATCGAATGCCAAAGAGTGATGTCAGTGACTTGTATCAATGAATGGACCTCTTGATTTTGCTGACTTAAGCATTTTCTATCTTTTCCCCTGAACAAACACAGTTTTGATTTGCTCTTAGCTCCCAAGGGAAAACAGTGTCTCAGACCAGTACTGATCACAAAGGAAATCAATTGGTCAAAATTTGTTTACAGAACTGAGATTATTCTATTTATTCAAGAAGCCTTTATAAAGCACATACTATGTACCTGGCTCTGTTCTAAGCACTTACAAATATTAACTAATTTCACCTTCATAACAATCCGAAGAGGTAGGCACTATTGTAATCCCCTTTCTACAAGTGAGGAAAACTCAGGCACAGAGATGTCAAGTAACTAATTCAAAGTCACACAGCTAGAGAGGAGCTGGCTCTTTATATTATGGTCTTAACCACTATACTAAACAGCCCTGTGCTTGAACTAGGCTTGGATATTTCTTGGGCAGAAGCAGGGAGCAGTGGCTTCTGTATTGATTTTCCTTTTCCTGAAGAACAGGGAGCCACCCCTCATGAAACCTGTCATATACTTTGTTCCTGGTCAGATGCTCTGTTGTATCTACCCTAACAGGGTAAAGGAGGAAATTCCCACCCTCCCTTTGGAGGAGTCCAGGGAGGGCGCTGTCCATGCTCTCGGTACTGATCACGTAGGAAGGCTGCGGAAGGGAGCTCAGTATGTATTAAGCGCACAACTGCATCTCAGTGCTTTACTTATAACAGGGTGTTGATGATAAGAGTCACATGTTGTTCTAATCACTTTTCATGTAACAGCTCATTTAATTCTCACAACAACCTTATACAGTGGGGACAATTTTCCTCTGCAGTGTGGATGAGAAATCGGAGATGCTAAGAGGTTAAGTAACTAGTCCAAGGGCACAGAGTTTGAAATAGCAGGGCTGGGATCTGAATCCAGTCATTCCATTTCCAGAACCTGCACTCCCAGCCCACTGTGCTTCCACAGAGTAGTAAAGGCGTAGGGACCTTGTGTCGCTTCATCTCATGTTCGTAACC